GAAGTTGGCAATAATTGAGGAAAGTCACGATCCAAACCGTTTGCCGCCTCAGTAACAGTCATTCATCTCTACTGCGAAACACAAGTCCAATCGATCGACAGAAAACAAGCACTTTGCTGCCTGGTACATAGGAGGTTTGCAACTACTTGTTCATCGTAGCACATCTGTTTAGATTCAGCAATTAATCAGGATTAAATTACCTTGTCAACCATACTGACGTGATGCATTTATCTTGTACAGTCTTTAAACTTTTCTTAACACAAGTGGGTTTCAGTGATGAAAATAAACACTGAGAATCACTTGTTAGCAGAAATGAAACAAAACAGCATAAGTTTACAATTGAATTTTATCGTTCGGCCTGTTATCAATATGCTTTTGCTATACGCAGTCCACTTCACCTTCTTACACAATTTAACCGATAGATAACCTATCGGTAACCTTTCACAAGGTCACAATTAAGCTAGGCCAATTTCATCTCATTTCCGCTTGATAAAACTTCAGATGAACAGAACTGCTTCATAGACTTGTGTAAGTGAATAACATTTGTTCTCCAACAGTATGTTCTCTTCAGAAGTTATGCCTCCTCTCACTAACGTTTAATCGTGACAATAACTTTATCATTAGCAGGACGTTTAGCAATAAGAAATCTCATGGAGAAAATTTAGTTCTTCGCTGAGGTCAAGAAGTAGGGCGCCGGATACTTCTGAGGTGTGATTCTATACATGTTGGCATAAAAGCTTTGGCTGAGACATTTTATTTGCAGTTAATTATCTGCCAGTCAAGTTAACAGAAATGTTAATTGATTGAAGGGTAAATGCTGAATGAGATAGACTTCAGTTAAATGGGTCATTGTTGTTCAACAGGGAATAAAATGAAGAATGAGATTGATTGACCAAGACTGGTGTTTATACTGGACAACTATAATGACTGATTTATGCTGTATCCTATACGCTGAATGTTTCCTGTGGCATTTATATCCAAGAGTTGGATTATAGAAGCGAATGCAATCAGATTTCCAGACTCCAACAGACGTTTCTGAGTGTTCAATAATCCAAGCTGTAAAGGCCCATTTACCTCATCGCATACCGTGCTATATGAATGATTAGGATAGACAAGTAGTATTCACTTCACATGAATGGGACATTAATGACAAGGCGGGCACTGACTTCAAAACGTTTTATGCTTTTACAATATTCAGAGGTTTCATTTCTCTTTATAGTTGAGTGAAAGTGAATCGGTTATAGGCCCAGCTGAATATGATGAATATGGTCGATACGAATAATGAAGGTGAGCTCTACCATAGTGGTTTTCATTGAATTATTCATCATCAGAATTCCTCTCAATTCCCTATGGATCACTGAAATTTTCACTTAAAGCTTTGCAGCTGTCAAATCACACACAAAAGTGGTGGGATACATCACCACAAAGCTGCAACCTGTAAGTATGAATCTGTACTGACAGACAAGTCATAACCTGTCTAAGAACTGATATTTTACCTGATTCACCCTTCCACATTACTCATATAATCAGATCTATTGCAGTAATAAAGGAAAGCAATGAGAAGCAAGTATTTTGATAAATGTTCGATGTTTGGTATCACCCACACAAATTAAACGACACTCTTAGTATCTCCATAATGACCAAATAACTATCAGAATAACAAAAGGCGAATTTGGCACCTTTTTGAGCTTTCTTCATGTTTGAGATAGCTACAAACTGAAACTGCATTGAATGATTCCCGCACAAACTAATCTCTCTGTGTTAGTCATATTCATCTGTTCACCTTGCATGATGAGATATTTGAAAAACGATTCAAATTAAATATTCAGATACAAGACGGTTCGTAGTCCAGACAGATGAACACAGATATAGGAAGTAAAATCAACAATAAGTTATCGGTACAATTGTACTAGTCAGTATATACAAAGTTTGTAAAACAAAGCTTACATGTGAAATACTGAGTTGAATTATCATTCCTTCATTCATTCTTTGCAGATAATTTAGGGGATAAAAAGGGAATCCGAACCAACGATAAAACATACAGTTACAACAGGAAGTTGAAATCCTGTTTTCCTCTCTTTTATTTTTTCTCAAACTGATCTTGTTTTAAACAACTGTGAAATACAAGGATAATTTGGTCTTCGTTTTCAAATCAAAGTTAAAAAGTAACCAAGTTATAAGACATCAGTTGATGACTGCTCTTCATAATAAAAGTGGAACACACTTAATGAAAGCTGTAACAAATCTACAAATCTAACAAATCTGCCGTCAAACTTAATATTAAGTCAAATAATTTTGTAGGGACACTAAAAGTAAACGTCTCTGCCTAAATTGTATGTATTATGAAATGTATAGAGCAGAATTGAGCTGGATTGTTCTCTTTTTGTAGTTAGTTGCGCATTTGACTAGCAATGGATGGAAGTTGGTTTCACATGAATGGATTAATTAGTGAAAAGTGTAGCTACTTGGAAAACATTCCACATTTGAAAAGTCCTAGACATATTGAGGTCATTGTAAAGAAAGCGGTATGCTAGATGGACATACTTTCCAACTTCTTCCTTCGTTTTGAAATTCATCTCCTTATTCCATGTTGTTTTAATATCAGATACAAAAATAACCAATATTGATGGATGATTTTTCATCGAATTTATGCTGAGAGTAAATCTTACTAATTGAAACATCACTCCTAGAAATTATTATTACTATAGAATACAGAAGAATAAAAAAATGTCTTTTCAAAGACAATATCTAAATACACAGACTGAGGATGAGAACTACATTCAGAAAGCGATTTCTTCAACTTTCATTATCAATAGTACTGGGCGAAGATTTTTTTTCATTGCATTTAGATATAACGGTTAAGTCTGCTAGCTTAGCGTTGCTAAATGACAACAATGAAATCTTACTAGGAAATATTTTATTTAACAGAAGAACATGATGAATACAAACCTGAAATCAATAATTAAATCCCCACAAACCTTCAAAATGAATAACGCTAGCGCCCATTGGTGACCAGCTTCCACAGGAGATTCTCAAAGTTCCAGTGACAAGTGGTGCTCAATGAGGACAAATAATTCAAGTATGAAGACAGCTACCCAACAATGGAACAGAATTGAGGTTGTGCCATATCGTGAACTGACAGAAGTAGGAAATATTGATCATCTGATTCCGACAAAGTGGCTTAGCAGTAACTTGCTGGCCATTTAACCTGGAGATCTTAGATTCCATTCCCCAGAGGGGAAAGGTCATAGGTGCGCACTGCTGAAGAGTCTAATCTCATAACGAAAACGGGTCTATTCATCTCGTTTCCAATGATTCTCCAATTGGTGTCATTCCATGGTGAATATCAACTTAAAATCAATACATAAATACCCACAAACCTCCAGATTTTATAAAGGAGTCACGTCTGTGAATTGTAATAAACATCTTTCCGTATTGCATTTAGTTATCTGCGATTTCTATTGATTAGAAAAGCAACATAGCCGCCGCCTAAAGTGCTGTTGTTCGTATACAATAGTTCGACTCATTAGCCAATGAGCGGTTAACTTTTAGTCTAGGTATAAATAGGGTTCTTTAAGAACCAAATATTTTAGTGATGACAATTTTGAAGTTTTACTTATCAGGTACGTTTCGCAGAGGAGTTTCTGTATGTAACCCCCTCCACATGATATGTTTTTATGCATTTATTAGGAAGTTGACTGGATTTACATGTTGAATAAAACTAGAAATATGCGAGTATACAAATAAGGAATATGTGAACAGAAGATATATTATTCAGTAAGAATGAAATCAGTTCGTATTTTTCGTCACCGCTCATTAACACAAAATACCAACGCTTTTTCTCTTTCAAAAAGCTTTCAGCATACTTTTCATCTTCTTAAAATTAGTTGGGTGACAGAATGATTCCCAAACACTGGTTACTAGCTGAACCAGAACTCAATCATATCATCTCTGGTTACTTCAAATACTGGGAATGATTCACTTCCGTAAACTAGGTGAGGTTCACTATTTGGTGGCTAGTAGCGGAACCCAGGACGTGCGTTTCGTCCTATTAACGATTTGTCAGTCGGATGTACCTGCATCACAATGAGTGGTGTGGTTCCCAATGGGATACGAACCCCTCACCCGTTGCTTCCAATGACAAAGCATTAACCACTAGGCAAATGGGGTGCCAGAGGAATCACTTGTGCAACAGGTATCAGTTGTTGTTGGTTATTGAGGTTCATCTGGCAGGCCTAATTTGAAATCACTTTGCAACCGTGAAACTCACATCCTATAAGACAATAAAACCTCGAAACAATAATGCAGTTTCTGAACATTTAATGTTGACAATTGACCTTTTCTTATGATTTTTATACTACCTGGAAGACACTTATTTGACCAATAAACCATCACAATTCTCTCATAAATTAAGTCATTGATGATACCTGAATATTGTTATTGATTTGTATGTTATGATTAAAAGTTTGTGATATTTGTAAGTGTGAGGCAGAAGAAATACTTCAAGAAACCTAAAAGGCAAGAGTATAAGCTTGATTTAGAAACCATCTCACTTTTTCGCAGTTAAAATTCTTGTAACAATCTGGTGACGTCTGCACAAAATATGCAGGTTGTTCAGAATGTTGACATATATGCAAAGACAGGGTTAATGCATTGCTTACATCTAAAGCACATAAAGAGTTGTCATTTTTTTTTTACTCAACCTTAGGATAACATGTTTGTGTATACCAACCAATACAAAACTATGGAATAATTCGGTAAAATGCACTGTTTATTTTCATCTGGCCGTATGGTGTGTACCAAAGCCCATATTATAATTCGATAGTAATAATAATAATATTGATAAAGGTTTCTTGACAAAAACTGATAGAATATATCCGTTTAGGAAGCAAACACAAGAGGTATTATTACCATATTGTGAAAAATTAATTTCTACATAAGTAATTAAGTGGTATAAGTGACCAGGTGTGATTACACAATAAGATGTGATAGTGTATATATATATATATATATATATATATATATATATATATGTGAAACGAAACTTACAAAAGAAGAAACAATAAATCAAAAAGGGAGAAAAATAGATGATTATGAAGTACACACCAGGAATCTTGAATGAAAACAAGTGAAATAATTAATCAGAAACATGTTCAGTTGAATTAGTTAACATGATATTGATGATAAGGATAATGTTGGCAAATCGCATCTTTATTCATTTTCAGAACTTATTAACATAAACACGTACATAACTACAAATGGAATGTATTCAAGTAACTGGATCTGTGCATACAGAAAAAAGGAAACAAAGTAGAAAACGTTTAAATCAATAGTTACAAATTATTAAATAGATTGTCTAATATTCGACTACCCACTTACCACTAATATAAGATAATAATAATAACAAATGCATTTTAAGTGATTTCTGAAATAAACAAAAAAGGAAGAATGAAATAAATCAAATAAATAAGTAAAAGAAAGCACTTGAAGAACGAAGAGTTGAGTAAATAATCACTACTATGAGTACAATAAGTTATGGGACAGTTAAAAACTACATCAAATCATTCACTCTTTTAACCTTTCATCTTGTCGAATCTCTTTCCCATTAATAATAATTAACACCTTTCAATGTATATTCATGAGAAAATACTAATCGAATGTTTAAAGACGTATTTCCCGTTTCAAAATACAATGCAAGTGAAGATATTCACTCTAGGTATATGTCTTTCTCTGAAATAATAAAAACACAAGAGTAGGAACGATTAAATAAGCATTTTTTTAAAAATTCCAATTAATTTACAAAACAAACAAAATTTTGAAAGATGTTCATCAGTCGAAGACATTCACTCCAGCATTCAATGTGCTGCACCACTGAATTTTCCATTTTAATCACTTTTTATTCAACAGCTGCTATTCGACACATATATTTTGATTAGCTAGTAACTTTAAAGGTCACCCTAGCAACTGTTGAGATGATCAACTACTTCCCTTTATTTTATGAGAAAAAAACCACTTTTCTGGTTGGAAAACCGAAACCTCATTGGTTTATTTCAGCAGTTCCCAAGGCGGCCTTTTAAGTCAATAAACCAAATGTTACGATCATCTGTGTTTTGTTTGCGGCAGTAAAAGTTACAAATTTCTTAAGAAAAACTACTACTGATAAATCTGAAGTTTTCGGCATAGCACAAACTTTCTCAATATTCAAAACAGAAAAAATTAAAGGTCAATTCGGTTTCTTATTTTTTTTGACAGGTACCGTCAAATGAAAAACAGCATAGATTAGTGGTGGTTCAACAAAACAAGTATGTTGACTTCTCATTATCTCCTGTAAAACAAGAACAAACTCGAAACAGAAAAAAGTGTTACCTATACTAAAGTGAATTCCTGGAAAAGTGAGTAAATATTCACTACTAGTCAGTTTATGCGAGAAAGCGTTAAATGAGGTTCTCAACATGAGGATGACAATTTAAGATGTTAGAAAATTAAGATTACACCAAGATTAAAATCCACAAGAATCACAGGAAAACTTCTTGTGAATCATTTCGAAAGACATAACATGTAACAGATTTGTTTACCACAAAAAAACATATTTTTGGCGCACCATCCATTTTAAAAAAAGGCTTACTAAAAACAAATTTGGGACAAGTAATATTGCATGCAGTATGAATTAGGCCATACTCATAGCTTTTTCCAGTAATTATGAAGACGATTAGCATTACCCAGGTCAAGATACACACTCATCATAAACAAAAGATAATTACGTGAAGGATCTATGTAAACAAGATGATTAATATGTGAATCATTTATACGGACCACATTTTCTTATCTTGATTGGATGGTTTCAAACAGAAACTAACACCACAGTTGGGTTTATGAAAAAATAAACAGTGAGAAATTCCAATCGATAGCGTCGTATTTTGGTGATATGATCATCCATTTGATTATTCGACTCTGAGTCAAGTTTGTCTGAATATCATGCCACTGAAGTCGTCCTAAAGGAGCAAAACAACCGCGTGATGCTTGTATCACTTTCATCTCGTTAACGAAATTTAAAGATTGGTGTGAATGATTTCTAACTACTCAGATTGTCTTGTAATATATTTTGAAGAAAATCTTATCTGAAGCTTTAGTTGCCGAAATAAAAAAAACCAAGATATTATATTGTTATTATTATTCAGTTTCCGAAACTCTCCTCATGAATGAAGTGTTACTAATGGATTATTTTCGTTGATTACAAATGTACGAAAGATTACCTGTCTTCAGTCAATAATGACGCAAAAAACCTTATTCCATGATATTGCGATGGACATTAGTGTGTCCAGTTCAGTCCAACGAGAGGTTCAAAACTAGATCAACTGATCTACTAAAAACAAAAGACAGCGTTTCACGTAATCGTCACTACTTTTATAGATTATATATCATCAGCTTTTTTCTTCACCAAACTCGTGTTCATGTCTTTTTGTTTAAACGCAGCATTTTCTAGAGTTCAGGTCTCTTCCATCTGAGGGTTAAAAATATAGTAATGTGTGAGAACAATTAGCACGCTTTGTGTTAAGAGGTTATAGCACTTTTGATTTAAGTCAGTTGAAACCTACAGAAATTTCAACAACGGCGAGCTTACTTCTAGATTTGTTCTTAAATCTGAAAACCGTGTTACTGAAACCCGTTTGTAGTTTTTCTCAGAATCAGTAAATCAAAACGTAACTTTTTCATTAAAAAAACTATTCTTTACTCCATTTAACTTAAATAGGTAAAATGTCAAAGATAAAAGAATTATATCTAATTAGAAGATATGTAAATGTCCAGTTAAAAGAAACAGTAGACAGATTTTTTAAAAACTGCAATTGATTCATTATCTAGCTAAGAGAAACTAAAGAAACCGACAAAGAGTAAAGTGCTTTAACTCAAGGAAAGAATTTTTTCTTTCAATATCCAAGAAGAAAATACACCGCTGATGATCTGTTATAGTGGGAAAAATTCCAGTCCTACATTTACTGATAGAAACTTATAAGCTGCCTGTCAACCTTCATATTGCATTTGACCTACTGCTTCTCCCTTGAAAATATGGTTAAACTATCTAACCATGATCCTATTTTGGCACATAATAAATGATTAATACTGCTGATGCCATTATTGAGGTTCTTGAGTTTGGATCTTATTTGTAAATGTGTATCCATTCAATTGAGTTGTAGTTAAATGATTTCACTGCATTCGTTTGAGTTATGGAACAGCTACCGGTCATTCATAATGTAAAGGTAGAGAGTTGAATTGCAGTTTAATAAATAATTCACTATTTATTATCTAGACGTAAAATCTGTTTACATTCAAGCTACGATCCTTGACTGACAGCTGCTAACTAGACGTTTTGGTCAGGCTTATATAATACAACGAACCTAAGAGTTAGACTGATGAACAATTTGGACTTCTGGATGGATAGAATGTGACGGTAAAAGTGACAGAAACATGTTTCCCATAGATGACCAATACTGACGCTTCCTCCTGTATAAGCGTGGACTAGTAAAAGCATACTATCGTTTTGATGTGTTCTTCCGGACCTATGAATTCACTTTCCTAGATAGATTCAAGATAATCAAAGTTAAATTTACAAATTGAAAAAACGTCAAATGTGGTCGATCTCAAGCAGATATTCACTGAGCTTAATGGTCACATCGCAATCAATAATACAATTTCTTTATCGGGTACCTACGGAATGGGCAGCTTAGAAGTATTAAACTCTATCAGAACTCTGTTAGCATGCGAGTTTCTAAAAGTCGTTAACAACCTTTCACACTCTTCATCACACTAAATAATAGGCTTCTTTAAACAAAACTCTAGCATCTCGAACCATAAACGTGTCCAAAGTGCAGTTGTTCACTCAACCCTATCTAGTCAATATAATGGATCTACAAAATTCAACTTTCGAGTTTCTGAAGAGTCAATATCTAGTTCCTACCGCACTGTGTGTGTACCTTTTGCGTTGAGTCTTAGGGTAGAAAGTGCACTGTACGACTGGATACCAGTCGACAGTTGCCTGTGCTTTTTCAACTGAATAGTTCAGCGAGGAATAAACAGAACAGTGAAACTCACTCTGCTTAAACACTCACGGACGGAAATTCGGATGAAGGGAAATATGAGTACGATCCCAAAACTGACCTCCTACTAAAAGCCAGAAGTTTCCATAGCAGGCAATTCCACTACACAAGAGTGTAGCCTACAACAGTTGGAGAAGTTTATTCACGATTTCAGCCAAGTAAGTGGATAACGACAATCACCTGGTACAACCATGCTAAAAAAAAACTACCGATTTTTGGCCAGTAAAAACGTCAGACAGAAAAACAGACACTGTCCGCAGTGCCATCTATCTATCGACATCTTAACGATTAACATGCAGACCATATCATTGTCGGTTGTCACCGCTCCCTCTTGAGCATGACTTTGGACAGTAATCAGGTGTTGGTTACAGTACGTCTACACATGTCGAAGCCTAAAGGAATTTAGAAAAACTGGATTAGCAAAACAATTTCAAATCTAGCCAGATGATAAAAATACTAAGGTTGCTTACGATGGAGAAATGGTTAGACATTTATCAAAACAGAACGATGTCACTCATCCAGTAGGAATTTGGCGCTATGTCCAGTCTGCTGTAAAAACAGCGTTAAGACGGCAGATAGAAGTTAAAATGCGTCAGCAGTCTTTTCTGAATTAATGGATACACGTAGACAAATTCTGGCAGACTACAGGCACAATTAAGAGTGGAAGAAAGTGAAATTTAGGCTGACAAAGAGTTTACATAATGATCATGGACAGTGGTGCACCACGAGGAATAAAGAGATGAAAAAAGGCAAAGGCAAGTGACAGAAGACAGTTACTTAAATTTTTTAAAAACCAGGATGCAGAAGACATCGGTTAGGTGGTTCGTAGTGAAGAAAGATGATGCTCCAATTCACTTAGGAAGTTGGATTAGTGAATAACTTTACCTCAGCATGGATACCATAGCTTCGCCTGGACTTTGTCATCTTACACCATCTATGACGCCTCCATGATATCCGACTGTCCATTAAGGGTCTAGTATAGAAGTTTGCTTTGTTCTACTATGTTGATGTGAAACTTTGTAATTAAGGTTAGAGAAAGGGGGAATAACTAGGCTTAAGGTGTTCCAACCACTGTTGCTCTAGTAGTATATGCCACTTCGTCAAGTCAGTAATGCAGAAGTCAGGTAAAGAGTTCTGGGTAGTGAAGGATAGCCAGTTGATGTGATTGCGAAACTTCAGACAGCTTGCACATACGCTACGTATGTCTAGCTACAAACTTCAAAGTGACACGATGTTACCTAAAGTGGATTTAAGCTGGAAAAAAAGTTGAAGGCAACCAGACAAAAAAATGATACCCGTTCATAAAGACTGTGAATGTTAGTTTCAGCCGTGTCGGAAAGTACAAAATTTGTGTTTGGGGTCTGTTTGACAACTAAAATCAGTGGCTGGGGACACCCTAGGTGATACAGAGCAGATCCAATCTCAGCGGCATAAATGCATCCACATTGGCACATCACCTTTGATGTGCTGATACGAAGTGCGTCAAGATGGATGGTTACGTGATGAGGCCAGGTCTCATTAAATGCTAACTGGCTGACTCAATTCGCAACAGCAAGGTTTTACTGCAACTCAGGTTTTTATTGTAACCTGAAACTCTTGTATTGCTACTGCATTAAGTAGGAAAAAAAACTAATTTCGGTAAATCCATCGATAAGTCCAAAATCTCTATGATAAAGTCAATTTGCATCATCTTGAGTTGAAATGTGCCAACTCAGAGGGTCAATGGTTAACAACACTATTAATAGACAGTTATGTTTCACTGGTTTATATGATCGCTTAACAAAGCTTTTATCAACCGTAGTAGAATTAAAACCTGGACAAAAGCTGAGTTTCACAGGGTGGCTGGCGAAAGGCCAGGTCGGTACCCCGTTTGTTCGAATACTGCACCAACCCAAAATTCGATTTTACCTCTAATTACCATCCAGCATAAATAATAAGTGCTTTACTCTACTTGCTCGCAAACTTTACTATTCATTTTCATAACATGGAATATAAAGTATTTTAATGAGCTTCTTTACACCATAGTTTATTGGTAACTTGGTTTCTCTATCTCCCTCAGTAATGCTACATACTGATGAACTATAAGATGAAATAATATCTTCAACTAAGGAGTCAGTTTTATGAATAGAATAAAGAGTATTAACTTTCTGCGAATTTATGTATATACATACATATGTGTTCAACCCAAAAGGAGTTATCGCTGAAAAACTGTTGACAGAAGAGAACTTTTTCATTGTGACGCAGGGATACAGACCTGAAAGATAAACATTTTTGATTTAACTTACAAGAGACGTTAATTCAGGGGATGAATAATACACTCTTTTGTCTTTTTCTGATCACTGTAATTCTCATTCCTAAGTTATCCTTATTTTGAGGTTTTATGCTGAAATTTATTGAGAATAGAACATATGTACATAAAATATTTATACATGTTATTTTTTTCTTAAACTTCCGACTCACTTAAACAGTGACACACAAATAGATGTACAAGACATCAATGAAATATTTTTCCAAGTATTATCAAGAATTCTTCTGATTTGCATATACTTTATACTGTAAGGTCATGAAAGAGAAACGGAAGCAATCTCTCGAAGAGAAAAACCAGCAACGCGAGCGGTATAAGGACACTGAGTCCAGTCAACAAACCGATACAGTTTTATTTCATCTCAATAATAGTGTTCTAAGAGGAGAAGAAGAAGATGGGTGACAGAGAGATTAAGATAATGATTTAAAAGAATGTTTTCTTTCAGATAGCAATTAACAAAAGTGGTGGAAGGCATTAATTTCAAATTCTTAGTAAATCCTATCATGGATATCTTTCATAAAAGAAGGAAAATTCATATATATGAGAGGAATTGAGAGTTCTACAACGAAAAACATATATCATTACACTGTTATCGATTCTGCATAACATTTGACTGTACACATATCTCTTCAATATATGATGACAATGAGTCAGGCATAGATACGATGATTGACCGTCGTTATAATGGAGGTGAACCAAAGTTATCTTGATTTGATTGCTGTGTCAAGCTAAGCACAGAAATTTAGTTTATCAGTGGCGGATTCAGTCAGTACACAGAAAGCAAGAAAGATTTATGAAAGTTTTCATATATATATATATATATATATATATATATATATATATATATATATATGGCGGCCTGTTAAAATTCTGGGCTACCAAAAATATTTCATTAAATTCCTCCACTTTTTATATTTTCTAACGACTCAAATGTCAAATAATCGTAAAACAACAAGACTACGAGAAAATATCACGATGGACGGCAGTTGGTTTTTCAGCACACAACAGTGAGTCATATAGCTATTACAGGAACACAGCTGAAACAGTAAGTTTTCATACCGAATCCATGAACCTCTAACACCAAACTTACTTGTGCTTTTCTATTCGACCAATGTGAAACAACACACAACTTAGATGATGAAATAAAAACAACTAGTTGTCGTGTAATACTGCCTATCATACTGTTATTATTAACATTATTTGCCTGCCGTGGTTTTTCAATTTGAAAATATTGTACAAGAAGTAAATTTGTTGGAATATCACACTAAGAATTCCAAACTGTACTAAAATTTACTGTCTGGAATAAAGTGATTAATACTATTATTATTATTATTCACACACCAGAAAAACAGAGTAATATTATTGAATATAAATAAATTGCATACGGCTTAAATCGAGGTGAATATGTACAATCAGTGTTAAGTAGCGGAAGGAGAAAGAAACGCAGCAAACTTTCACTCTTTGATTAAGAACTTTACAATCTTCTTGTTAGACAATAGCTTTGAAGATAACCAAAACATTTAAGTAAAATAACGGAAGATTCAATACCATTTATTGGAAAATAGGCTTACCTTGAAAGAGGTGACAAAAAAACGAAAAATACACCCATAACCAGTTGAGTAGTTAATGTTGAAAATTTTCAACATCCTTTTTCTGAATTAACGATTCAATTGTGTGGCATATTTGCTTTGCCTTGAATAAACAACAAGTGAAAATAAAAGATAACACTTCAAAAATTAAAGTCCTAAATAACTATGGGCAAATATGTTCACTTAAAGCTATTGTTCTAGCCTCACCTAAATGTGACAAATATTTGGCTGTAACAAGTGTAACTGGATTATTTAAACATAAGAGAAATCTAAACTTCCTTGTAAGACTAGGAGAAAACAGTCAGTTAATTGATACCATGTCTTTGATTGGAATATAATGCTTCTCCGAAAAGCACTCGGTGAGCAAATGTTTCAACCATTTAAGTTGGTTCAAATTCACAACTTCAGTCACTGAACTAACTACCATGCAAAACGTCTTTATCTGATATATGAGCAGTATTTTGAAGACAACTACAATTGACTACCTATAAGTTGAATTGTACCATCTTTAAGACCGGTCTCATAATTGTACAGTGAAACGGAAGAGTGTTGAGTTATAAAATCGCACTTCCATAATTGTTAAAATGAAAACGAAGCGGCCTGAAATTCGATTTTTTCTAACTATTTATCAGCCCTTGTTAACAAAAGTATATGTTTAAGTGTTTATTATCTTATTCAAAGCGTCTGCTCTGAAGTAACAATAACTGTTGGTTAAATGGCTAAAAATTTATCCAAGTAGTGTTTCGTCCATTATAAGCGTACCACAGCTTCCTGTTTGCTTAGTAAGTCAACAAAATTTGGACGACTCCAGGTACTCACATCCTATTTCATCTTCGCAGTCGAATCTCTCTCGGTATTGAAACACATAAAGGAACATATCGAATTTACAGTCAACTACTCATGATCTCTACACATACAAACACTATCGTTAGCGATTTATCTCGTCGTCATGTACCCACAAGAGAATAAAGTTGCGAAATATAACTACTCATGAACATAGTACACCTTGTAAGGAATAAGGAAAACAGCCATCAAAATTGAACAATAAATTACTTGATTTGCATTTAGAAAAATGATTTTATTTGTGTAACGCTAACTAGTGTTACTACTCTACACAAACTTTTATTTCTATGTGATTTGAATATGATGATGATGGTTATTCATAATTTATTAAAACTGAGCAAATCAAAGGATCTAGACTGATGCTTTTCAATAAGAACTAAATTTACTTAAGTCCCATCTAAACAACCAAAAATTATATGCTAATTTTTCCGCATATTCAGGTAATCCGAAGTCAAACGTGAAGGCACAGAAGGAATTCGTGTTGCATACATTTCTGACCCCACAATAAAACCATAAACTGTATAAACGCCTTTTTCCCGTTCAAAATCCGAGTTTCTAGAAATAGTATTTCACGTTGTTAGTATTCTTACCCTTCTGTCTTTAGATAGTGCGTCAACTAGGTTAAGTTAAATTCATAGATTATCATTTTGACGATATCGTGAGAGATATGATTCTGTTCAATTTCCAATAAAGTAAGTTTCTAATCAAGTATTCAGTTTAAAAATTTATCAGTGAAAGATGATACGTTGAGGATGAGACCGGTTATCTAAATTGGCACAACAATAACTGGAAAACGGATATCACATGACTTCGATTGGACAGATTACTGAAATGAAATGATGAGAACATATTTGAACACAATTTTATATGTCGGTAGTAAAATTTGCTCACATTTGAATAAGGTTTATACCTGAAAAACATATATGGAGCGGAAAAACCGCTTTAATACGGAAAAAGGTATCTCACCTTATCACAACGAAATTGAAAAGACGAAAATCGATCGCAACTTTCTTCACCGCTAAATCTTATGGAGACTATTGAATCTTTGAATAATAAATCAGTTAATTGGTCATAATTCAATTTCTTGATTACTTCTCCTAACAAGTTACGAAATATTAAACACTTTCCATAAATCTACAAAAGAAGGAAACCATTTATCATTAAAAAGATACTAGGATTCTTTTAATGTTGATAACAAGCAGACATTGATTGGTTTATAATAACTGCTTTTAAATGTGTGCTGGATACACATCCAAGTGCATTGTGCTATACACTGTGTCGATTTATCTTTTTAAGCTTACTTAAAATGTTGGGTTTGTTGACCTAGACTGGTTTTTAGACGAAACGCCGAGTCAGCCGATGATCCCAGAACTTAGTGGTGTTTTCAAAAGAATAGCTGAAATAGGTCATCAAGTGGCAGTGCGTTATGCTTTGCAGATATAATTTATAATTCAGTCAACAGAAAATCTTGCAGTTACATTTTACGCTTGGAGTTAAAATCCTGCTAGTAGCAATAAGAAAATGAGTAAAATACTGTCGAGACAGAAGTGAGTACATTATTCTATTTTTTGTTAATAATAGCTAAGGATACTTAGCTGGGGAGAAAATTACACTTAACAGACTGCCAAAAAGTAAATCAATAATAAATTAAGATGATAACTTTGCAAACTACATGACCAATGTCGACATTTTTTCAAGAAAGTTGTTCAAAAGTACCAAGCTACAAATTCAGGCGGTTAGCTTAAAACCTTTCAAGCTATGATAAATACAAACTAACATCAACTGTGTTATTTGTATATCATCCGTCTAGCGATTACCCATTTTGTGATACACCGGTCTATTTAATTCAGCTAGTTAAATTCATCACTGATATACATAATCACTATAGAGTGAGATATTCATTCATAGTCTGTATCATACTGACCTGACTTTCGAAATCTGTAGTACACAACTCACGTTCTCCAATTGAAGCATATGAAGGAGATATCATTCCAAAGAATACTTACAGACTTGAAGAGTCTAGTGACAATACTCCATGATTACATATGCTTACTATAGGCTGCTAGATGGAGAGACAGGTAAGTAAGTAACTAGACAGATAACAGATTGATAGACTGACTAACTAGCAGAAAAGGATACTAGGTCACATAACTCAACATCCCAAGAACAGAAAATCAACAATGTAGATGAAAATGAGCGAGTTAGAAGATAAACGTGGATTAAAAGAAAGTAGAGTAATCACTTGCTTGAAATGAATTAAAATAGAGAACTGTAGTGTGTTTCGAACGACTGTTGTCCCATTGAATGAATAGATTGCTGGGTTCAGGTGATTTATCAAATAAACTAAAATACTGATGTACCGCATATTCACATGATGGCTGAGTAAACGTTTGTTATCGTAGAAAAATAAAAACCTAGTTAGCAATCAATACAATCCAATACGTAAACAAACTAACTAGCAGACCAATAATCCAGATGTCCAAATTAGTTCGAATTCTGCTGTGCATCAGACTTAACATTTCCCTTCAATCATCATCCATCAAAATGAGGTTCAGGAAGCTATTCAATGGTATCTCTTATGATTTAGTCAATAATTGTTGGTCAAATAGACTATTGAACAGAATCTTACTCCATAAAATTGATTTGTATAGATAAAGATACTGATTGGAACTGCAAAACACCAGGACTACTGAAGTATTCAAAAGTAAATTTTTAGACTACTGACTCTACTGGTATTCTGCTGATTGAACTACGAGACCAAGCAGCCCAAAAAGGTGACAGTTTCAATTTCGATCATCATCATCAATCTTAAATATACACAAGCAATGTTTTATATTCAAGAATTTAAATTTATTTAGTTTTCTGATAGTGTTTTCAACACAAAATGTTTTATCTGTTTTCATTGAAATGAAATAATTCATTCATTTTTCTGTCAGTGGGTAAATTTTTGTCTCAATAAAACAGAGTATGGAAGCAGACAGAAATATACTGATTTTGCTATAACAGATGTTTCATGGATTAAGTACCAACGATTACCAAGCTTCACTCTATGAATTTATATAATCATAAAACGACTGTAACAAAATCTAATGTATTCCTATAAAGCATGACAAGCTATATCCCCTTGATTTAGTTTATTCACGGAATCACATGAAACCGATCTCCTGCATAAATAAAAGATGGATACTATAATGAGAAGACAAAAGCTGGACGCAAAATCTCTTAAATACAAACCATAACACACATTATGGTGTGAGCTAAACATAACAGGTGTAGAGTTACAGTGCAACTACGCCTGTCAAACAGAATAAGTAACAACTACGAGTCAAGTGTTTAGATAACTCAGCTACAGCTCAATAGGATAGTTTACGTGATGATAAGCCATGAACAGTAATTTTATATTCTTGGTACATATCATATATTCCGTATTATATGGTTTTCATCATTGAAGAGGAGATTATAGAACTGGTTAAGTGTTTATCAGGAGCACATATCTGAAACCTTGAAGATTATAATTTATGCAATTCAGTGATATAAATCCAGTCTTTTACCGCTAAGCTAAGCGACAACTGATTCCCTGTAGGACTGGATTATTTAGTTGAGTTGGTTGACATCTAGTAATGACTCAATGGAAACTGGGATATCAAAAAATTGTAGAAAATACATGTTTCTTTTTTTTATACAAATGCTGAGAAATTTAAAGCTTTTTGACCCAAGATCTAGTAATTAGTACATATTTAGTCAAAAGTATAGGTTTATGTCTGCAACAAAAAAGATGTTGCCAATTCTATCGTCATGTCACGAAACGTTTCGTCAAAACCTATGTTGATCAATATTCACTACTCATCACAGTTTTTGATTTTAATGATAGCTAATATATTGACACTGTTTGTATTGTCATTCTTGACAAACCGTTTTCAACTATCAAATCCTTACACCAGAAAAATGTATAAATTTGCGATTGTACAGCTTTGGAAATGAAACCGTCGAAAAGAGACTATTTGCTGAAATACTTGTTTTTCTTTCATCTTTTTATCGTGCTAACACCTCTGCTTTTCATTTTCTAGTCGGCCGATAATTGTTGCCCGATTGAATTTTGACAGAGTTGTGGGGTTTTAAAAATATTTCAAGTTGTTATTCATCGTAGGCTGACATCATGAGCTAACAGAAGTTGGAAATATGGACCAGTGGATTCTGACCCAGTGGCTCAATGGTAAGGTGTTGGCCACGGAACCTTAAGATCGCGGGGTCGATCATTGGCGGGGTCGTGGGTGCACACTGCTGAGGAGTCCCATAATATTATCCGATACTTCATTGAATGCATCTCTCATTTCCTATGATGCTCAAGCGGATGGACGCTTATGTTGACTTTATTACCTCTATAACTGCTTTTTCCAACTACCTATATATCAAATCTGAAATGATATTCAAACACTGGTGATTGCATGCAAATCGCTATTATAAACATTCGTTCATAAATCCTATTTTGATTTTTACGAAGCACTCTCTCAGCAAATATTCGATTGCCCATTAATCTTCACAGCATTGATCACAGAACTACATTTTTATTTAGGAATTGTTTTTCAGGCTTAACTATAATCTTGCGATAATAAAGAAAACTGCCAACCAATTGTAGATAAGCTGAGCAGTAAAGTATGTGGTAATACCCTTCTAATTAACAGATTCATCATGGTGTGCGTGTTTGGGGAACGGAAAAACCACAGACAGAAAGAGAAAGCAAATATACTGCAGTTCAATCTCGACAATTACAAAATATCTGAATAGAGGCGATGTTGTGTATACTTCTCCATACTATAAAAATAAATCCTTTTTCAAAATGTTTCCCAATTCAACCTGTTTAGCATAATTCTAATTTTAATCGTTAAAACAGCCCAAGATAATTTATGATTTGCATACAACTATTGTGAAAGGAACATGAGGGAGGGTAGTTAGAGTAGGGGTTAGCCCGATGAATATAACAAATTATTTTACTTTGAATGTGGTAAAGCTTCGTTTTAATAATAAGCCAAAGGAAAGAGGATGTTTTTTTTTGTTTTCGTGCTTAATTACTGCTTCCACTGATGAAAAAGGATGCACATGCTGAAAACTGAGAATAGAATGTGTGCACGGAACGATTAATGCATTATCGCATACAGAAGTGCATATAAAGGCGATGATGGAAATAAAGTCAAGAAACAGTCACAAAGAAAAATAAATAATAATGTGGAGATCACAAGATTTGATGAGAAAAGAAAATTATAAACTGAACATCTAAAGAACTGACTATTAACAAAAATGAAAGAGACTTAAATTGAGCTGCAAAATTCACCGATATGATTTCCTGAAATAAACGGCATTATCCATTTATTTAACCCAAAAAAATTATCAAACCCACTGCTTAGCAATTTGAACATGTAGGTAATATAAAACATATATCTTCTGCAACACTCAGAAAAATCTTCCGTATTACAAACACATAGTCTTGAAACACCAAAATTAATTCCGGGGTTTGTTTGCATCTTTGACTTCAAATTGGTATTCACCATGGACGTATATCAGTAGAAGGAACATTAATAACCTGGGAGCACTGGACAACACTGAAAACGAACCCCATACTGGAATGAAACAGCTGTCCAGTGCTCCCACGTTAATAGTGTTCCTCCGATTGATGTCAGTCCATGATGAATACCAACTTGAAACTAAAATCAAACCCATTCAACAATAAATTAAGATAAATAGTGATTCTAATTTTTGCAAAGACGACCATCGAAAACAATTTTGTGACGTTCCTGAACATAGGTTTTGAGTAAATCGGAGACTTATACTCCCAACCATGGTGTCTTCTAGAAAACTAAAAACCAATGTAACCGAGTGTCAAAGTCGATACTATTGAGTTATTAAAACTGTAACCAATATTTACTGTAAATTAACAGGTTAACAAATAATAGCCACTTTCTAACTATCGCTAAGTGGAAGGGGTTAGGATTTTTAAAACTCCACTTATTTCCCTATAGCTTCAAATAGCTTAACTCATAAGTTTCAACATATATGAAAAGACTGTTCTTGGAATGCCTAAACATTTACGCACCTAGCACTAAACACAGTGATTTATGATATTGAACCACTTGCATTAATGATGATCGATTTTTGAATTCGATTGATACAATTTGTTTAGGGTGAATGTTTCAATACCAAATTATTACCACTCATTGAATGGTAGGTGAAACGCTTATAAGTATTTAGTGCGCCCCTTCACTTGAGACCATCACGTTACCAAAGGATTCACTTTAGAAAATCTAACCTGTCTTAAAACCGAGGCTTTGCATATCCATCTGCTGTATGTGGCAGGATAATATTTCGCATACAATTAAATGTCTCGAGATAAAAAATTGGTTTATTTTGTAACTTGTACATTGCTTTGGTATCATTTACTCAGATATAAGTAAAGGTTGAGTTATTGTAAGTATTCACTTTGAAAGTTTAAAAACGAATATCTTTTCTGCATGTCTTCTATTTGTGATGCAAAAGTAAAAAGTAACTTGAATATTGATTGAATTAGATTTCACTTTGCATCATAAGGTAATACGCACCTTAAATATGGAGTTCATGATATAGGGTTATCATCAATAACCATAATATTTTCATTTAAAATGTAGGTAAATTACAAGCTGAACAAAATTATGTGCGAATACGACAAAGATAATGCTAAAGTGAGAAAGTGAGAAAATATGATGAATAATTTTGAAGGATTTTCTAGTATCTACTTGATGTCCCATGTGAACTAGGTGTGTATGTAGGGAGCTCTTTATTGTTTTAATTTATCCCTTGCTCAACCACGATAAATGGTGCTCATAAATTGTACGCCCAAAGTACCTGGCTCCGTAGGACTAGTTGAATTGATAAATGCACATAGAGGTGGCAAAATCAGCCTGCCTGTCTTTATTTCTTGTAGAAGATGTGATGTAATTTAGCTGTTGGGAATGCTTTCCTTATGCGTTGTGTGATGATCTCACTAGCAACATCACTCTTAAATTTCAGCTTCAAGAATATTTACTTCTTAGGACTTGTTGGCGTTCTTGTCTTGACCTTCGTAACATTCATATAACTAGTTACAAACTTGTTTGAGTAGCCATTCCAACTAAGCAGACCACAGATGGTGGCGAACTCTTCTGCTATAGCATCATCTCAGCAAATAGCTGTGGAGCGTATGCTAGGCTTTTCACCAGGTTTCTTTTGTATTGGGGTGTACGGCACTAAAGAAGTGCGTGTATTGACCTATCGATGTTGGCTTTCTGCATAACCTTCATTTCAAAGTTCTATCAAACCTTCTTACCAGTGAAACATCAAAAAATCGGATACTGCCATTTTTCTTCTCTTCCACTGTGAAGTTGACTGCTGGATGAACGCTACTGAAGTTATCGAGAACAGCATTCCTATCAATCTTACTTTTGAGATTTATAAAGGTATCATCCACCCATGCATCTATTGTTTATGACTGAACACTCATCGAAACTCACTCCATTTACCTAATAATAACCTGTCTCACATTTCCAATTTTAATTACTCTATTGATTAGTTACATCTTAATTTCTAAAACCTATCACCTTTATGACTTACTTAAAATCTATAATTATTGTCTACCAACCTACACCACTTGACTGGTATTTTGATTGAATTGTAAAATAATATATTAGCGTAGAGCCGAAGATGAAGACGTAATTGAAAAAGAAAATATTTCTTCGCTCAATCAATCTTTTTTCTAATTCAGAGGAAATGAGTGAATACAACTTCCATGCAACTAAATATGTTATGGAATAATTAGCTGATAATAGGTATCAACGGTATCGCAATGAAATTAGCTTTCATCGACAAATGACACTAAACGAATATCTGTGCCATGGAATCACAAACTTGCATGACCTTTAGTAAATTGTATAAAGGTTATACATAAATATATAAATCTACAAAAGCTAATTTTCTTGTAACTACCTCTAGAATTCTTGTTTCCTTACGTGGAGGATTTAACATTTCGATTTCATACGATTGAAATATTTTTAATCTTGTCAGCGAAGGCAGTAAGTCAACTGAATTACCCTCCTGAAAAAAAAAAAAGTCAGTTCAAAAATAATTTTCAACTACATTACAAATGAAACCAAGAAACATTAAGAAGCTACTTCTCTTTGCTTCGGAAATCTACAAAAGTGACTATTCTCTATGTTACATGAAACGGTACCAATTATTTCTAAGTCAGCACGTTCGACTTAATTATTTGGGAAAGAAATTCTTCAAACTAATAAAATGGTAATAATCGTTTTGCTGTGGTGTATCATATAAACCTCTAAATCCTTTGAAGAAACCCAAAATTACCTAAAATCATTCACAACTAACCAATACACTGAAGTTTCCAGAAAAAGCACTTGATCACACCTGTGGATATGAAATTGGCTATTAGGTAGGAATCAGTAAAAAAAAATGTTCTTCTACAAAAGCATTTCCTTAAAAAGGCTAGCATAAATATCCATCCTTGGTGATGAAAGTAAATTTTTGGCTGATGTTCCATCAGATGACCTTAGAAGATTAGGATGCAAAGTAACATGTAGTCTGATAAAACTCTTGAATATCAATGTTATCAGCAAGGAGGAATTCACTTCCCTCAAACCAATGAGGTTCGAGCTACCTAATCTGTATGGATTGCCTAAAATCCATAAAACTAATAATCCTTTACGTTCCATACTCTCCATGTATCGTTCACCTACACATAGTGGTGAAACGATTAACAAAAACTTTAATTCCTATTAGAAATGAATTATGGAAGTTTTCTTTAAAAGATACTTTGGACTTGTTGATTATGTTAGTGATATTTATATCAAACATAAGAGATTGTATTCATTCAATGTCAACTCCTTATTTACTAAAGTACCCCTAAATAAAACCATTGACATTCTTTGTGGCCATATATCTTTCAGTAATCCTTCTTCCCCTATCCCCTCAACGTGTTTGAGAGAGCTGTTAGTATTGTGTACTGATAAAAATCATTTCATATTTGAGGGTGAACATTTTGGACAAATAGATGGTATGGCCATGGGAAGTCCCTTAGGACCATTGCTAGCTGATATTTACATGTCACACAATGAAGGCTTGACCGGTGATCTCATGAGTAAAGTTACTCTCTATTAGAGATATGTTGGTGATATAATCGTGATATGTGACAAGCATGAAGATGCGACATGTTTGTTAGGAAGACTTAACATCGTACAAAACAACATAAGCCTAACATGCGAAGAAGAGAAAAAAAACTGTCTGCCGTTCTTGGATATACTCCTAAGTCGTAGAAATGATGGTTCAATAAAAGGGTTGATTTACATGACAGGTCAGTACTTAAGTTTCCATAGATTTTGTTCAACTCAATTTGTCTATTTAGAAGGATCCAGCATATTTGTATGGAGGACTCAATGGATGATGATATCAAAATACTAACGGAAACATAAGTGGACAATGAATATCCACTGAAGTCCATAAACCGCTGCAAAAATCAGCAAGGATTCAAACCTAATCCGTACTCTGTTTCGAAGAAATGCGTTTACATCGCGTTACCATACAGAGGATATTCTAACAGCATAATATTAAAACGAAGGTTAAGGTCTGCTGTTAGCGAAACGTACTATGCAGCCAAGCTTATTATTATAGATGAGAAGACCAAACACCTGCTGCAACCTAGACCTCAACGCTGTATAAACGATTGCGTCACATCCCACTGCGTTTATAAATTTACATGTGTGTGTGGAAAAACATACATACGGAGGACTAGTCGTGATATGCACTTGAGGGTAGGGGAATATTTTCCAAAATGGCTACGAAAGTAGATGGATTCAAAAATATTGATAAGCGCAGGTGGCAGACAACTATCATCATCCATTGTAAAACATCCCCGATTTTGTGTGCAAAAACAGTTTGTCCTTATGCTAAGGCTATCTTGGTAATGCTTATTTTATCGTATTACCAAGATTGTCTTCAAATCTTATCTCTTTTTTCCCCTCATTATCTTTCTTATTATTGTATTATATTATATTTGTCCTTCCCTCAACTTCCAGTTTTCATATATACTGCCTTAACAAGTAAATGTGTGGTCAGATTGTTCGAAATGTATAGCGCAAATACATCACATTTTTCGGATAATGTACGTCTTCTAACTGCATTATCCAAATTCATAAAAGGGACTAATTATTTCAAAATATAATACCACTGAAATTTCCTAACCGCTTAACCTAGCAATACACTTGCTGTTATTCTACAGCCTTTTCTATATATGAGGCGTCAAACAACCATATAGAGAATAAGCTGAATATTAATATGCAAGCTTTGACAAATGTATATATCTGAAAATAATAGAACGACTTCATACCATGATGAAGATATCAAAAAATTTACATTTTCAAGAAGACAACACATAAAGTGTCGGGTCATGTCAAACTACTAAGTCGATTTCGGAATGATCAGAGGCACCAATATCCATAAAAATAATGTTACATTCCATATAGATTAAAACTTCCATTTATATAACTGAAATTCTACCAAACTTAAAGTCTGCAATATTGGCTACAGTTGAAGCTCGCTAATTAAGTATTTAATCCACAAAGTGTTCTGAGTACAACGATTTACAACCTACATATTTTTTTAATATTAAGCATCAGATTTTAAATCATAGAAGAATAGGTTTTTGAGATTACGTGCTCTAACATCAAATTAGAACGATCATAAGGTGCGCCTTACTATAACTCTTGGAGACAATCGGGGAAGTCAGTTGGTATCAATCAGCAACGTTTTAAAAATTAGGGTTTGATTTTGTATACGGATGTTCTGAAAACGTAACAAAACACGTCATATATGTTTACTTTTAAATACGTTTATCTAAATCCCTCGGTAAATAAATCACTTTCTCGATTACTTACAATCTACTCTCGTATATAGATCCAATAAAAACAGGGAGATAATAGTGGAAAAGGCACTCCGTTTTAAGAGGGAAAATGATTATAAAATATGAGATAGAATCCGATAAAACTGCACATTAGTACAAGTTCTAGTAGTTTTTCAAAGAAGTGATGAAAGATAATAAATAAAATAATCAATAAGAGATGGTGATAAATCAGAATGAACAAGCGAAAATGAATAAAAATTGACATGTCAAAAAGAAAAGAAAGGATGATTGTCACTTGCAGAAGAACAAAGCATGAATATTTATTGCATAACTAGTACTAGTTACAGTTTGCACTATGCCTGATACTTCTATAAGTTTAACTTATTATCTTTTCAACTTGAGTCACAGCGAGAATCAATTAAATCAACATGAAACTTCACATTTTAATCTAGCCACCTAGAGGTTTACTCTACTAAATATAGCACGTTAATGACGTAGCATAAGCTTCGAATAAATTGCTTAGACAATTTTTGAACAACTTACACGAAGCACATATATACCATTCATAATATAGACATGTACGGCCTTAATTCTTTTAATGAACTCTAATTAAATAAAAGTTATATACAAATTTAATTAATTTGTAAAAGAAAAATTTGATACAATGTAAGACTTACCAAATATTTTATATTATCTAACAGATTACTGACTGCAGATGCAAAATATGAACCAATACGACATCTCGCCAATAATCTACGTACATGATTAACTAATACACTTTTATCTACACGCATTAAAATCATGAATGCAATAAGGTTGTGCAGACATATGGCTAGTAAACGATCTTCTTTTAACATGAGTAAACGTTTCTGTGTTGCATTCATATGTAAAAACTGTTCAATCATTTCCATAGGTGCCTGATCCATACCTTGAAAAAGAAATGAAGGAAAGAAGAAAAAAAAGCAGAAACAATGACATTTTAAAACTGCTTTAGTCATTTCAATCAAATAGTGTAGGAAAGATTGCAGCAAGAATTCTTTTATAGACTATCTGAAAGAGCACTCTTAAACAAACTCATCGTTGTATACGGTGACGATAATTCAAACGAAAATAAAACGTGTGGTAAAGAATATTTCGAGAGTGTATACTAGATTAAAAGTCTTACAGAAAACCAAATGAGTAAAGTCATCCCACGACCAACCACGCAAAGTTCAGTCTGGAGTTCAAGTAGGTGTTTTGAGTAGTCTGATTACTAACTAGTTGTTTACTGTCTTGTTTCAGTTCACTGTGACCTTAATGTGAACGAGAAGAGAGATACGGCTTAACAGTTGTTTTGGTAAAGAAAGGATAGCTATATATCTATCTGCTTACATAACAGATAGTTAGAACACTCAATAACTGATCTAAGGTTGAAAAGATGTTAACACTTGAATCCAATAGCTTATTCAGCAGGGCGATTAGTAAACAAACTGATGGCTAATCATTTGAGTTTTGCAGTGACTTACGTTTCCCAACTTGATCTCTGCTTCTAATGGGAATAATATCGAAAAAAATGAGACGAGAATTTTTAAAAGTTACACTATAAGAGGAATAATACGAAAATAATAGGAGTGTTCATAATTACTACCCTCATAACTAGAACTCTGTTGATCCCTATGTCTGCACCTGTGTTGATATCGTATCATATGCAAAGTTACCTGGCAGAGATTTTAACAAAATAAACAAGAAATTATCTTTATCCACCTCAGTAATCCGCTGTTATAAATCATGTACCCACATTTGTGATTATTCCAAATGATCTTTGAAGTTATAATAGTAAATACTGCTCAATCAGTTTTTGATGACTTACAGTAAATAAAAACCCAGGAATGAGATCGAAGTCACTTCACGCCTTTGTACTCACATATTCAGTTAACGTTTGTGAGTAAGCACTGATTCAACTAAAGAAGGATAAAGTAATCAGAATTCCTTACACAGCGTAAATTTTCTAGTTACTTTGAAAGAAACATTGGATGAATTGAAAATTAACGAAATGTTCACAGTCAACCATTTTTATCTTCTTCCTTCTACTAAACAAACTGAGTGATGTTCTGGAAAACTATCACGGGTAAGACGATAAAAGCTGCAGTATGTCTTAGATAACGGAGGTTTTAAGCTGAATAATTTGGTTAACTGTGTAGAATACTGAAAAACGACTTATTACAATTCCAATTAACATTGAGCCTTTAAACTTCATACATAAGAGAAGATTTTCCTCTGTGAGATGCCCAACGTTTGAATTCTACTGGTATGACCAACGAAATCCCAAGATCGGAATGAGCCATACTATCTGCCGCTATATTTAAATGGTTTCCGAAACAGCTCGGAATTAAACGTCAAAGAAATGAGATACGTAAAACGTTGTTTTAAAAAATGGAAACAGCTCAAAGAAAGGAAATGATGTAAAATGCTACAAAATTTAAGTGAATCTATCTGCAATAGTGTTATTGGTGTTAAACTATTTCAGCTAATAAATCCAGTAGATTATTTTTAGCTCTACAGGTAACCCAGTTAGACATTATTCCCTATGCGCTGAAGGCTAACGGTCAGTAGAATTTATGAATTCGCTTCAATTTTAAATGACTATCTTCAGCTACTCTTCACACTTCATTTCACTCCAATAAGCACCTCATTATCTAGGTAGGTGGCAGCTTGGCAAGTATAACAAATATACTGACTAATCTAGCTGATGCGTCCTTATAACCTCATTGTTACTCCTTATTATTCCCTCAGATGTAAATAAACTCTGTCATGTGCTGTTATAAATTAACTTGAAATGGAGTATAGAGACTGGGACAGTAAGATATATATGTTTAAACATCACGACAAGAACTCCTGACAAGTGAATTAGAACGTTTTAAGATCAGGTTAATGAATTTTTGGTAGGTGTACTTGCATTCATTAACCTGACGCAGGGCGAAGAGTAGGAAATTATTATTTAATTTGGGCTTAAAATCTGTCTGGATTGCCACTGATTCACTTTTTAGGGCTTCAATTAAGTCTTTATATCTAGTAAAGCCCAGTCCATCCTTCTTGGAATGTCACAAGTGAGGTTCTACTCACCCTCACTAGAATGAAATATAATTGATACTGGTTTGAAGGGACTATCCGTTTCATATACGATGTAACTAAAAACTCAGCATAACTAGTGTTTGTTAGTACCCACCTTTGCAAACATCTAGAGATCGAGCTCTTAGTTCTGATTCTTTGAATCTTTTAACTTTGACAACATCCATCTCAACGGTAACTGGAAAATATAGACCGAAGTGAATATTATTGTTTCTAGAGATAACTTTCTAGACTTTCTTCCCATGAGAAATATTTAAATACCGTCGAACACTAATCATACAAGCACTATATCTTTATAATCAGACCCCTATCAAGTTTCAAAACATTTACAGTATGATAGAAGCTTCTTTTATTCTTATGGCTGTCCCATGAACTTTACTTCTTAAGCATAAACTCAAGGAAAAAGGAATTCACTCAGTTTGCATAAATAGGCACTTGAGATAAGTAAACCATATCGTCGCAACAGATTAGCAGTCTTTAGTTATATAACCTTCTTAGTTTATCTAAATATCCTATTCAGTTGTTTAGGCTTTCCTATAAGCCGTAGAAACATTTGGCGACAGAGACAACTGTGTCTCGTTTTGTTTCGATCTATCCAGCTGTCCAATATATATCTGTAACGAAATGAGAGATACTTCAGTACCAGAAGCTTTCTCTTCAAAGGCGTAAAATACTCCCCTAGTTCGTTGAATACCATTTATTCTGCGAGCTGAACGACCTACTTGAAAGTCTTGTGGATGGTATCGTAGGTGGTGACTAGGCATGCGCAACACATATCCAAGCCATCTCAGTCGACTAAGGTTCAGTACCTCATCAGTTGACTTGCCTTTCTTGCCTAATACCCTTCGCCTGGTGCCGGCATTTCTCACATGATGATTCCACCAAACAGAAGCAATACAACGAAGACACTCATGATCAAAACCCAGAAACCCCTTCATGTATTCTACTTTTAACAACCCTACTCAATCCTGTTACACCGCTCATCAGTTTAAGCCAAAACGAGCGGAATGGTAGTCCGACGTTCAGATCACCATGATCTGACTCGCGAACAATGCTGATCAGAGTGGGTAGTTAAGATCTACTGATGTCAAAAAAATAGTATCTGATGTATTGGACTCAAATTTCAGATATTTGAGACAAATGCAAATAACTTATAACCTTCAAAAAGTCAAATAAAAAAGAAATAATGGAGGTTAATATGACTGATTACTTCCTACCCTACCTGTGAAGTGTTTTAAAACAGCTGTCTGCAAGGAAACACTCATCTCAGATTTAATTAGGGTCGATGACATGTTTCCAAACTTTTTAGAGCGAAAATTATTCATTAGCGGTTCGAAACAGGACATTCCGTTTTCATTGCATAATAAACATTTGAAGTATGATGACAAGCCATTGCCAGACTGTGGTATCCTTTCTTGTCTATCTCAAAAAAACAAATAATCAGAAGCAATAACTTATGTTTCTGTCCCGGATTCGAGTCCTAGTGGGAACAACACTGGTCACTGAGAGGCAAGCATATCCAGCTGACGAACCCCAAATAGGACGAAACGCACGTCCTGGATTCCACTGCTAGCCACCATTCCTCCTCAACTATTAAATATGATTAGAGCATTATTTTCGTTTTTAAGACGAAGAATCCACTCGATAAGCTTACAATCATCCCTACAACTAACACTAGCTAACTGCTTCACTATTTACTGATTTTATGAAATACTTGCATCCTGGTCCCACTCCATAACTTTCACTACACATGGTAACTGGACCTAAAATTGTTAATATAAAAACACTCTAGCAAATGAATCGAGTAGAATATTTCATGAAATTTCGAGTACCAATTATTTTTTTAAAATAATTTTCCCTAGTTCATATATAATGTGTTTATGAGTGCTCTTTTAGAAGATATTACCTAATCCCTTCATAAATAAACCAGTGCATCATTTTATCATCCAGACTAAGTGAAGCCAGGAGACAGATTTTGTGGGTTAAAACTATCTCTAATATGGTTTTGTTGAATTCATTTTCACAACCGGAATGTATTTTCATGATTAATTTATCAATAGCGTACAGCTGCAGTCACACTACCTGTGATACCTTTTTGCTTTCAGCAAAACTGAGTCATTACTTTGATAATTTAATCTGAACATGTTCATCAATAAGATGAAGCTAAAATCCATAAAGTGAGTTTCTACTCAGTTTGCATATTCTATACACAATAGTATAACGGTCATCATTACTCTTACTATTGACATTCCTCACCTAATATATCTCTTTCTTGAGCAACTGTATCGAAAAATGTATCTTCCCAAAATTGCATATGATCCCATAAACGTGATCGTTCATTTTCACCAATTAGATTCTCAAATACATAAATACGATCGGGAGATTCATTTATAGCATTGACTTTTTTGTAGTTGGTACTTTTATCCGACTCAAAATTGTTATCATCATCACCAACAGTATTAGACTGATTTCGGTTATTGAGATCAATTAAATTACCGTGAACAAAACGATAAGCGCTAGCATGTTGAGATTTTCTTCGCACCACAGCTATAACAAAAAAAAAAAGAAAACAATAAAAACAGTTAATACTGAAATCAATAAAATGTTTACATCTAAAAATGCAATATTATGCGCTTCTTAATGTGTGCTTGTTTGTAATTCAGTGATTCTATTTAAGCATTGTGCAACCATTTATTGTTATCACCTATCTACTCAAATCAATCGACTGGTTTCACGCGGTATGAACACGCTAACTACTTCAAATGTATTGCTTTAGGTGTACGACCTAGAATGTGAAACTGAGATAAGCTTTAAACTGATTTAATTACACTTAATGATTCAAGTGAGTGATGTCTATCCACTAACTCATGTTGTTCAGTAATGTCATTTGTTAACTTGTAACATTTACTTTGAAAAACAGATCGGCAGCTCTATGACAATGAAGCCTCTAATAAAATCTCTGTTGAAATCACCTAGACAATATTACTTGTGTAAATGTAAGAGAAAAAGTGTTCAGTCATAGGAAAATTCATCAGTTGGTAATTTAATTAGTTGCTTTGACCAAATATTTAATGCTCCTGGTTATATAGTGAAAACTATATAGAATCAGTTCACGTTTGCTTTTCCTTTAGTGCCATCGACGACCAATGTTTCTTAGTCTCCCGACCATGTTATCTTTGTTATCTTCAGAGCATTTTTAGTTTGCTACATATGGATTTTGTTTAGAATCTTGAAGCAGATGTAACAAATATTCAGTATTGATCCAGTTCGCGATAGAAACTACCATAAAAATGAAAGCAACCAGTCCTGAGTGTTTTTGATGACGTTACGTCCTATCACCTGCATAGTATAATTGGCATGTTCTTATTATCATCCTAGACAACATTATCAACACAAACTTCAGAAAGAAGTTTCCGCCACCAGTGAACAACGTGAAATTTGATTGGGAAAATGTGGAAATCCCGGACAGAAGAAATACAAACATTGCCAGAGGATTTTTAGAAGCTTGGCATTCAGGTCAGTCATCGATCAACAGACACATTGGCACTGACCAAATCTATTAACCAACAAGAGACAACAAGAAGATCAAAGTTCACATCAGCAGGACAGCCAACCGAAATAAATATGACAAGACGTTGGCATAAACATTGAATCACACACAAGGCCATCAGGACAAACAACTAAGCAACTTGTATAGAAAACCCTGCAGATTAATTCTTTCTGGAGTTTGTGCTGACGAAGTTGTCTAGAATGACAATGAAAGCTTCACGATTAAACCATCCTCTTGAGCCAAAAACATTCTTCATAAACTCAAAGCTCTCTGTGTAAAGTTAAGTTCCAAAATTAGTAAGATTTTTACTCAGTCAAAATATTAGTGAACAGAATAAGTAGATATCAACAAGTTAATCTGTTTATGAACAATGAGATTACCTTTGCTTACGGGATTTGAAAGGTCATTTGTTGTTTGCAGTGAAGTATTCACAACACTTGATTGTTGTGGCTGTATCTACAATCAAACGAACAGAAAATTTCGATATATTATGGGCAAAAAACTAGGAAAATGTTTTCCATTACTAAAATATAGAATTTTTCCTTGAATTTGTTTCGAAATCCTGGATCAGCAGTAGATTAAACTTAAAACGTTCGGCTAGATCGACTTCACCATTCGAAGGAACTGATCAGAAGTCTCATGTTGTAACCTTGATTATGCTAAATCGAGTAATTGAATACATTCAACACTCCCTGTATCAATAAAAAGGGGCTTCATATTTTCCTGTCTATTTCTTGATACAGGTTTTTAGAAACTAAAACCATGGTTCCATGAAACAGCAAAAGGTATTACCCTTATTTGAAAATCCCCACTTTCTTCACGACACTATCGTGCCTTTAAGTTAGGATAGTGAAGTTGGTTACCATCTACTTAAAAAATTTCTCTATTTTCGCTCACGCTTTGTCCTTTTGTTGTATAATAAGCTGAAAGTCAATTTTGAGAGGAAGCCAAGTAACGCAATAGCTTCAGCAGATAAAAATGTATGCATATGTAAATAAAAGCAAAATCTCTTTAAATAGTTACCTCTTTTCTGGTTAAATTAGGTGTTGAGTTTTGATGACTATCAAGCGTCCCCCGTGTATTAGGCAGGCCAAATAACCCTGACACACGATTTGTCCAATTCCCATCTACAAACAAATAAGTGTGAAAAAACACGTATCCGAATGACTCAAACATCAAGAAAATGAAACAATGATATGCTGTAAATACATGAGGCAAACTACATGAATCTGATTAGTACTCAGTCGGATCCGACTGAGGGTCATTTCCAAAACAATTAGCTTTCAGACCACTAAAATGGATGAGTCTTTACCATTTTGATCAGTGAGGACATTGAAAAGGGTGAAAAAATGTTTGCCCGGTTAGTCATATGATTTTCCAAGTTTACTCATAGAACCCTTACTAGGAAATCAGAGAAAACTGAGTTATAATGTAAATATATAAGTAAAGCGGCGTTTGTACACCTCGAAACTTTGTGATGAAACATCCAATCACTATATACAAATCATCTCAATGTGAAATTAGGCGAATTCGTAAACAGAACATACTTTTTCCATAGTTCTTCGAAAACAGACTTTCACTACATCGGTTTGTATCATACACTAAAAGAATTTCCGACTACCATGTGAATTCGTGACGCGTTACTGTCGCTAGATCGTATTCATACTTGCTGCCTAGTCAATACTTCTCATACCGATCCCAATCTGACTGAATCAGAGAGGGGGATCATCATACTGATCATCATTTGACTATCTCAGACAGAAGTGGTTTGGCAGATTAGTATTTCAACTGGATGATGATTGAAGGTGAAATGAAAATCTTCGCCGCGACTATTTCGAACCAGATCAGTTGGTAGGGCACCCGGCGTGTAACCCGAAGGTCGCTGGTTCTAATACGGCCGCGGTCCAGATTTCCATCTCACCTTCCATCATTTTATTATCATTTTATGATTTGTCCCTTGGGTTTCTAATGGAACATAAGGCTTCAGCAACATGTGTCAAGTGAACTCTGTTCTCTGCAATCTCTACAACCTGACTCCATAACAGCCCAGAAGCCTTCATTTCCTCCTCACATGATCTCCTCCTTGTCACCCTCGTCTCGAACGCCCAACTCGTCGTCTCCCATCTGGGTTCCACTCGACGGCCTGGCCTGATGCGTGATGTCACCAATCGGCCTTCTCAGTGTATGCCCAATACAATCCATCTCCACTTCCTTCCAGTGCATATTTGTTAAGCGATAGGCTCTTGGTTGGTTCGTTGCCAGCCAGCCAGCCAGAGTCCCTTGTTCCTTATTATTTCTGGCCATCTGAACTTCAGTAACGAGCCAGCGTAGGCAATTGTGTTGTTGATGAATGTCTGTAGTTTGTTGGAAATGCCCTTCGTAATGCGCAAAGCCTCTGAACCATCACACAGAAGCACTGATTTGACTGGATTGGTGTTGAAAATCCGGATGTTGTTCTTTATGGTGAGCGGAGTGCAGAAGATCTCCACACTGGTTTCAGGCTAATGAACACCTGTCTTGCTGTCTTTCCGATTCTGACTTTGACATCCTCGTCTGTGCCGTTGCCTGTAGTTGAGATAGTGGTGCCTAGATAGGTGAAGGAGGCTACTTCCTTTAAATTCCTCCCGTTGACGGTTCTTGTTGTTGTTGGTTGGGTATCTTCATCACCTCTGTCTTCTCTACGTTCACTTGAAGTCCCGTCTTCCTTCGCTGCCCTGCCTCGCCTCTTCTGTCTACTTGCTGGTCTTCGCCTGTAGATCTTCAAGTTTGTGTTACACCAGACATAAGTTATCGGTGAAATCCAAATCTTCTAGGTTCTTTTCCGCAGTCCAGCGTATCTCCCTGTTCTCGCTCCTCACAGTTTGTTGCATGATCCAGTCCACTACAATCAGAAATATCATGGGTGAAAGATAGTGGACAGCCTTGTTCTACTCCTGTCTCCACTTTGAAGGCATCAATGAACTTCGCATTGTGAATTACTTGGCTGACATGTGGCATGCGTCTTCATATAGTTATTGGATGAGATTGATAAAGGTTTGCGGTATTGTATTGCGTAGTCTTGAGGCAGTTGCCTGTCAAATTACTTGTCGGTCGACGCTGTGGAAGGCGTTTTCAAAATCGATGAAGTTCAGGTAGAGAGTTGACTGCCATTCTATACTCTATTCTATGATGATGCGTAGTGTGGCGTTGCAATTTGGTCCGGACATGATTTGTACTTTCTGAATCCAGCCAGCCTGTTCTGGTCGTAGTTTTGAATCCAGAGCATCCTTTAGTCTCTCGAGGATGATGCAGCCTAATATTTTGCCTGGTGTGGATAGCGATGAGGCATGATTTCTCACCAGTTCTTGCAAACACTGAGGTCTCCCTTCTTCGGGAGTTTGATAAGGTAGCCTTTCTTCCAATCGCCAGGTAACTTCCCTACCTTCCAGACCTTGTGCAATAGTGGTGTGAGCATGTCAGCTACTGTCTCTGCGTCTGTTTTCAGTGTTTCTGGCGGGATTCCATCTGGTCCTGCTGCTTTCCCGGCTTTCAGCAACTTTATGTCGTTCACGACTTCGACTTTTGTTGGAGGATTTGTGTTCAGTGTTAGTTCTGTGGCTGCAGGTGATATTTCTGGACGAGTTGCAGGTGGCGGTGGTGGCGGTGGTGGTCGATTCAAGAGCTTTTTGAAGTGGTCAGTCCATCGTTTCCTTTGTTTCCCCTCTTTGGTAATTAAATTTCCTTCATCATCTTTTATTGGTTCCATGGGTGTTGATCTCTTCACTGCCAGACAGTAACCTGGTTATTGGATACAATTTTGTCAGGTCTCTGTCTCTCCTACCTGCAGCCTGTTCTGCTCCACTTGCCAGTGGGTCGTAGAAGTGTCTTTTGTCTTTCCGTGCACTCTTCTTCACTTCTTTGTCCAGTGTAGTGTTTTATACATTGTACTCAGTTCCTCTTGTCGTTGTGCATCCTTGCACTGGTTTACCTTCTGCTTCACCATCCTTCTCTCCCTGTTGAATCACCTTCCATGTGTCCGTCGAGATCCATTCCTTATCTTCTTCTTTCTTCTTCCTTCCTAATACGGTTGTGCAGGTTTCTTTCCACGTCGCTTCCAAAGCCTTCCAGTGTTCTTCCACACAGGTTTCTTCAGGGATGTTCCTCGATATCTCTCATTTTGTGTTGATGGCTGACGTGAAGATGTCCTTTGTAGTTTCGTCTTTCAGTTCACTTTCCGAGTGTTGTACTTGAACTGCGGTCTATCACCAGCTTCCTCGAAGGCTTTTAACTTGATTTGGAAGGTTCCTTGCACTAGATAGTAATGTGATTCTACATCTGCTCCTCGTCTTTATCTGATCTTGTGTCAAGTAGGCTACGTCTCCGCTTTCTTCACATTGGGATAAAGTAGATCTGATTTTTAGTGCGTCCATCTGGGGAAATCCATGTCTCTATGTGGATTTCCTTCAATCATTACCCAACATAATTTATTGTCCATATTCATACCGGGTAACTCCACTACTATGAGACAGAGTTTATAATGTCTTAATTTTCTCTCTTTCTTTGTGATGACAGGGTTAGTTAGAAGTCTCCATATATCTGTGACAGGTGCAGAATCATTTCTATTGTATGCATTGGGTATTGATTCAATACACAAAGATTTCATTATGAATTTTTCTCTTCACCCAACTCAGTTAAATTTTAATACTATTGCTCTATCCCACCCTACATCGTGGTTGTGTTTAATCACAAGCGATTCTAGTACCTACTCAGACTTCAAAATCATCCCACTCCATCTTTGTTAAAGCAGGCTAGGTGAATGCCTAAATAATAAGCCGAAAAAGCTTACTAGTAGATCAGATCAGATACACCAAGAATACCTTCCGTTCCAATAATTATCCACCTTAGTTTACAGATATATTCTCGGAAAACCGAAGAAAAGTATTAGCAGTAGTACTAGTAGTAACACGGGTGTTATTAGTAGTAATTATTTATTATTATATTATTAGTCCCTTGGGTTCCTAGTGGAACATAGGGCTTCAGTAGCACGCCTCCAGTGACCTCTGTTCTCTGAGATCTTTTGAACCTGGTTCCACGACAGCCCAGAAGCTCTCATTTCCTCCTCGCATGACCTCCTCCATGTCACCCTCGGACGTCCAACTCGTCGCTTCCCATGGGGATTCCACTCGAGGGCCTGACGCGTGATGTCCTCAGTCGGCCTTCTCAGTGCATGGCCAATCCATCTCCACTTCCTCCTGCATATTTGTTGCGTGATAGCTTCTTGGTTGGTTCGTTCCCAGAGTTCCTTGTTGCTTATTTTTTCTGGCCATCTGATCTTCAGCAGCGAGCGTAAGCAGTTGTTGATGAATGTCTGTAGTTTATTGGAAATCCCTTTCGTGACGCGCCAAGTCTCTGAGCCATACAAGAGCACTGACTTGACGTTGGTGTTGAAAATCCGTATCTTGTTCCAGATGCTGAGTGCAGAAGATCTCCACACTGGTTTCAGGCTAATGAACGCCTGTCTTGCTTTTCCGATTCTGACTTTGACGTCCTCGTCCGTCCCGCCTGTAGTTGAAACAATGCTTCCTAGATAAGTGAAGGAGGTTACTTCCTTCAAGTTTCTCCCGTTGACGGTGATTGGAGTTTGTTGTTGTTGTTGTTGATGGTGGTGGTGCGGTATCTTCATCACTTCTGTCTTCTCTATATTCACCTGAAGTCCCGTCTTGGCTGCCTCTTCTGTCAACTTGTTAGTTTTTGCCTGCAGATCTTCAAGTTTATGTGACATTAGGCATAAGTCATCGGCGAAATCCAAGTCTTCTAGGTTCTTTTCCGTCGTCCAGTGTATCCCCCTCTTCTCGCTGCCTACTGTTTGCTGCATGATCCAGTCCACCACAATAAGGAATATCATGGGGGATAGTAGGCAACCTTGTTTCACTCCTGTCTTCACTTCAAAGGCATCACTGAGCTTCCCATTGTGGATTACTTGGCATGTGGCATCTTCATATAGTTGTTGAATGAGGCGGATAAAGGTTTGCGGTACTCCGTAGTATTGAAGCAGTTTCCAAATTACTTCTCGGTCGACGCTGTCAAAGGCCTTCTCAAAGTCGATGAAGTTGAGGTAGAGAGCTGATTGCCATTCTACGCTCTGTTC